AGGCTTGGTTTTTGGGAACAAACTACCGAACACGTTCTTCAAAAATAGTTGAAAAAATAACCTGCCGTTATAGAATCACATTGTATAATCGATTTAGGTTCAAAAAGACGACTGTGTGGTATGCTTAAGCGCTCTAAATGAAGAAGGAGAATCCAGAGAAGTTTGCGAGTTGACGTGTGGTCACCAGTACCATGTGCAGTGCTTTGAGGCAAGTTCTGTCCCCTACAGTCTGAGTTCCCAATCACAATCAGTCGTGGAAATTTAGGAGTACGTGCGCAGTCCAAGCAGTAAAAAATGTTGCCCTTTGTGTTGTAAATATTTTGAAATTCCGATGGGGGATCAACCTAGAGAAGCACAGATGTTCATAAACAAGAACTATCACCTGAAACTTCCAGGTTTGTCCACTCTGGCTTATCACAAGTCTGACAAATATCTGTACTTCTTTCAGGCCACGAAGACAGCGAATTCACTTACGAGATATACTATACGGTACCGCACGGAGTCCAAGAAGTACGCGTATTTGAGTGCTTGTTGTACTCGCAATGAATGTAACGTGATATTGTAGGCAAGCCACATAAGGCCCGGAAAACTTTTTACTGGGACGCAAAGAAGAGCTTTTGTGCCTGGCACTACTGAAGGAACACAGGTACTGACAGAAGTCTACTATATTGCTTTGCTTGTAGTGGCAGCAGTGGCGGTATGAAAAACTAAAGCTTTTTTCGTTCGATTGAGGCGAATCAACCATGCAAAGGAATAGAAACATTTTCCGGGGCAGTTGGACGACGGGTGGTTGCACTTCTGCTATTTCCCATCGACCCTTTTAGAGCTATTTCATGAGCTTACAGGAGTTGAGAGGTTTCATCATGGACGAGCTTGCTCCAGCTTCTCGAGAGTTTACAGGTTTCATCAGAGTGAGAATGGTAAACCGGAACCAGTGAAGGAGCGAAAGTAGATGTGCAAAATGCCCGTTCACCGCCGCGTTGTGCCCCCTCTTCCCTTGCGTTGTGCCCCCTCTTCCCTTTCCCTGTCCCAGAATAAGGAGAACAGTTGACCATGACCTACGCCTGTATCTCAAAGGGGAATGATGAACTGATAGTTTCAATATCCCACCCAACGTTTTTATGTGGAGACGGAGAGGCCATTACTGTTAAGGGGTGACAGTAAACCGGTTTTGGCTGCGCAAGTGTGCCGCTAATGGAGCGCACGATTTTGCTAAAGTGTTGCGCGTCTGTGAAACAGGGACGACTATTTCTATAGGAAATGGTCAGAGTACGGGCAAATGTTGATGGACTATACTCTTCCATCGCAGAGCACAGCATGCGGAAAGCCCGCGCTGTAGAAACCGCACCTAATGCCCACCCTTCGAAGTTCTGTTCCTGATAGTAGGGACGCAGTGCTAGCTGTAAAGTTTGACACACGGTGCTGCGCCTTGCAGTTTCCAAACAGTCCAATTGTTGGTTCTATTTAGGTGATGCGATTGCTGAAGTTTGCCTTTGAACGTCGCCTTATATTCACGGTAAGTAATGGTTCCATGGAATCTTTTTTTACCGCACAGCCTTCATGTGTTTCTGCCTGTTTTCAAAAATCGGGTCTTACTTCCTGCCTTCTCTTTTACCTGATTGCTGGGTCATGGACAAAAGACTTTGCTTTCTTAGGATTGGTACTCTGGCCTTGTGCATCCGGGCACGCGTGTTACGCGTTTTCGTATATTGTGAAAGCTTTTGCATGGGGTGGGTTCGGGATGGGGGGAGGGGGGGGGGGCGAGGTAATCAAAACACAAAGAATCGAAGTTCAGGAAAGTTTTCTGCTTCACAGTCCACTGTCAGTATTGGCCCGGGTCATCGCCCTATACGGTGTGATAAGCAAATTGCAGAAATAGATGAAGGTCTGTGCGGTGAAAAGGTCCATGGAACCATTACTTACCGTGAATATAAGGCGACGTTCGAAGGCAAACTTCAGCAATCGCATCACCTAAACAGAACCAACGATTAGACTGTTTGGAAACTGCAAGGCGCAGCACCGTACGTCAAACTTTACGGCTAGCACTGCGCCCTACTATAAGAAGAGAACTTCGAAGGATGGGCATTTAAGCGACGGTTTCATACAGCGCGGGCCTTTTCCGCAAGTGCTGTGCTCTGAGATAGAAAAGACTGAGATGGAAATGTCCATCAACATTTGCCCGTCTTCTGACCATTTCCTATAGAAATAGTCGTCCCTGTTTCACAGACGCGCAACTCCTTTAGCAAAATCGTGCGCTCCATTAGCGGCACACTTGCGCAGCCAAAACCGGTTTACTGTCACCCCTAAACAATAATGACCTCTCCGACTCCACATAAAACGTTAGATGGGATATTGAAACTATCAGTTCATCATTCCCCTTTGAGATCTACAGGTATGGATGCTGACTAACCCTACTCCTTATCCTGGGACAGGGGATAAGGGGCGCAACTCGTCGGCGAGGGGGCACTTTGCACTTTCGCTGCTTCGCTGGTTCCGGTTTACGATTCCAACTCTGATGAAACCTGTGAGCTCTTGAGAAGCTGCTATGGCTGTCAACTCCTGTAAGCTCCTGAAATAGCTCTCTATGGGTCTAGACACGCCGACGGGAAGTGGCAAATGTGCAAAAGTCCCCCCTCCCCCGTCGTCCAACTGCCCCTGAAAAGTT